AGAATCTAACTTTTATCCCTTGGTATTCAATGACAATACCACACCGAATTAACTACTATCAAGAACCTGTTGCTACAACAGAACGTCAAAGAGTAGGAATTTTGCAGAAGTAAGTCAACTCCGGTCTCCCCAAAGCCTGTCCACCATCTGCAAGGAAAAGTTAGGAGTATGATGGAATACTCCCCACCTGCCTGGGTATGTACAGCTCCAATAACACTGAAAAAGCTCAACACCATCCAAGACAAAACAGCAGCTTGATTAGCATGCCATCCATCACCCTTCACATTCATTCCCTCCTTCACTAAAGCTTTTTGACGCAGAGAATACCATCTACAAGACGCACTGCACCAATTTCCCAAGACCACTAGTGTTTTGAAGGACAAGGGGAACAGATACATGAGAATACCACTACCTGCATGTTATCCTCCAAGCCACTCAATATCCTTACTTGGAAATATATCCCACTTCCATCAGTGTCGCTGGGTCAAACTCTTGGAATTCCCTCCCAAACAGCGTTGGGGGTCTACTTACACTAAATGGACTGCAGAGGTTCAAGAACGCAGCTCACCATCATCTTCGCAAGGGGAGCTAGGGATGGACAATAAGCAAATGACACCCACATGCCTTGAACAAATATTAAAATTGCATTAAGTGATTGAGCTGCAGACACAACCATTCTCTAATAGTCTTCTATGCTTCCTATTGCAGAATCTCATACATGGGTGCAAGGAGATGAAAGATGTTATGTGAGAAAACAAGAGTTCATTTCTGTTTTTAGGGAGGATCCTCACCTTGCATCGGGACCTCTTTATATTCAGTGGGAGGCAGCAGTAGACCCCTATCATCTGCAAAGGAGCTGTGCAGGCAACACAGACAGTCCTGCCAGTGCCAGTCAAAGTCACTTCCTCCCTCACTTTTTCTATTGTAGTTTCTTTCTGGTTTAACACAGGGATCTCAGCCTTCAACCAGTGCACTACCACCGATGTGTTTAACAAGTGACGACGCAATGCTTACCAGAGCCAGTGCTTCCAGCTGCTCAGCTCCAAGTTCACAACAGAATGCAGCTGCTGGTGCCTAACCTATCTCTTACAGGGTCACTAATATCTACAACATCGAATCATCAGCGTGGATGGCTTTCTTAACCTCCACCACCCACTACTTTCAAGTATGTAAAGTCAACATGAGCTTGGTACCTCTCCACAGATCATCTTCCTCACCCACTCTTTTAACCAGGACCTTAGGGTATTTCGGAACAACATCATCCCATCAGGAATGATAGTCAACTATTCCCTGGGAAGGATGCTCCAGGACAGTAGCCATTGTAAAACTACTTAGCTTCCATTCCTTAAGGCCATTATCCACAAATCTATCAGGGAAATTCTGAGGAGTTTTCCACTGACTAGAAGTTGTGCATAATTTTAACCATACCTTCTTTCCCCTTCATTTGACTTCAAAGAATTTTATTCAAAGCAATTATTTGCATAAACTTCAATGGTTTACACTCTGCAATGAATAAAGGCAGATGTTCTCGTAGGATTTTTCAGTAAATCAGAAGCAGTCTTCAGTTGTCTGCTGCAACAATTTTGCAGCTCCAGGAATGCAAACTCCCACAGTTGACTCTGCATGGGCAGTAGCCCGAAGTGAATATTTAATTATGTTCAACTGAGGAGTTCAGGAAAGAGCAGCAGTGTATCAACCGTTAGTCAGCTGTCCCAATAGACACTGATCCCATTAAGAATTCAATCAGAAGAGGGAGTAGTGAGAACGCACGAGCGAGAGAGACAGCAAGTGATCAAGAGTGAGAACGAAGTAAAAAGCAAGATCAGTGGAAATGGGCCGTCTGGCTAAAGCAAGGTTAAAGGGTGCATGGAGACTGTACAGGAATAACTGGCGACTAGGCGGAGCTCGCTGCTGTGGGTTTCCGCCACAAATTGCATTGTCAGTCATCATGTGCCGTTTGCTAGAAGCAACCTGCAAATAGACAATGTATGGGTCATTGCCCAGGATGGGTGGAGTTAGTGTCAGTTTAACGGGCAAAAGCGTGAGTTCCACTTCTGCTGGAAAGGGGGATGACAAGAGGGCAAAAGGTAGCAATCATGCCTTTGCAGAATGCAGCTACATTTCATTTACAATCATTAGATCGAGCAAGTGAAACGCATGACGGTACAAGTATTTGAGATTCAAATGCAGGCCAAAAGCAATGTGCATCATGTCTCTGGCTCTTGAAAAATGCACAATGATAACACAGGAGTTATTGCTGCCAACTTTAAGAGAGGAATTCTGGCCACAACCAATGCAGTATTTCTGCCACCTTCACAGAGTATGATGATTTATGATACTGTATGCAATGATAAGTTTCAGGTTGATGGGAGACTGGGCTGGAAAGGGTTCAGAAAGAATGCAACACTGTGCATTCTCAGTGACTGCTCTGTGTTGCTCACTACCTCCAGATGATCTATACTGCAAACCAACTTCATAAACTCCTCTTCCCTATCTTCATCACCTTTACCTCCATGAAATGTGAGTTGTTCCTGACCTTCTTTAGCATCAAAATCATCTGCCATGCCACTTCTTTACATTACCCTAACTTGCAGTAGATTTAAACTTGCATCGTCCCTTGTACTCTCTGCGATCTTTCTTCATATCCTCTGTCTGAAGTCTTTTTCCGTTAAATTGCTCACCATTCATTGGCCTGTCCTGGCTCACATGTTAACTGACATTGTTAAAGGTTTTGTGTTCAGAAGCTGTTCCTCCCTATCTTCACAGAGGAAATTACAGAGAGGTGCAAAAACTATATATTAGTCATAATGAAGGACTTGACTTATCCTATTATGACCTGGGGCAGTAATAATGTAAAGGGAAGGAAGGGAGAAGAGTTTTTTTTTTTAAGTAGATTCAGTAGATTTTTTTACATCTATAAATTTTCACTCCAAAGAAGTAGGGAATGTTGCTGGATCTGGTTCTAGGCAATGAGATGAGTCAAATGCATCAAATTGTCTGCAGGGAAACATTTATTGGACAGTGATCCTGAGATTTAGTTTGTCTAGGGACATCAGTAAGGAGCAATCCAAGCTAAAAATAATTAATGGGGTGAGAACCAATTGTAATGGGGTAAGAATGGATTGGTTCAAGATAAATGGGAATCAAAGATTGAAAGGCAAAGGGGAAATAGTTTGTGGACAGTCCAGGTACATTCTCATGAGGGGGTATAGTGGGATAAAAGGCAAATCATCCTGATTGACAAAAGAGATAGAAAATACGAAGAAACAGAAAGCGGGGGGTGCATATGATATATGTCAGGTTGATAATACAAGTGAGAACCAGCTTGAATATAGCAAGTTCAGAGATGAAGTGAAGAAACAAATCAGACTTGCAAACACAGAATACAAGGGGAGACAGGTAGGTCTTGGAAAAAAATAAGTAACTTGTGGGTGTATAAATACTAAAAGCATGATGTTTTTTGAAAAAAAACAGAATTGATTAGTGGACCAGAGAGGGATTTTGCACACAGAGGCAGAGGACATGTTTCAAGCACCGAATGACTTTTTTGTATGTGTTCACACCAAGGAAGATGTTGTGAAAGTCATAGTGCAAGGGGTACAGGCATTAGATGAGCTATGACTGCATGAGGATGGAAGCTACAGAAGGGCTTAGAGTAGTTACAATTGATAAGTCGCGAGAACTGGGTGAAATTAATCCAAGAACACAGAGAAAGAAGGGTGTTTGTGACTTTGAGATGGACCATTTTAGTACTATGACACAAGTGGCAACTGAACCAGATCGGTCAAACACAGAGCAGTGGGTAAGGATACAGGTCTGGGAAGCCCCATCACTAAATACAAATTCTGAATATTTTATTCATTTGAGTCATGCTCCAAAATTCTTCAAACATTGCTCTTCATTATTATAAAAACTGACTGCTGAGTCAGAATGGTTAAGACCTTGTGCAACTATTTTAAATAGTACAGACGTGTGGTTGGAGCACAACGTACAGCATGGGATTCAAAGCTTGTCTTGCTAAATCAGATTGGCATCAAAAATGACAAAATGCTTCAAATCGGGAAATCTAACGTTTGTTGGTGCATTGCTGCTGCAAATCAAAAAGACATCAGTATAGAAACACATAATTTAGTGAGTAAATGGGCAGTATAGTGAAGGTTCAGCCTTAAACCTGGCATTAGGTAAGAAAATTTCAGTAAGATAATTGATGTTAGCACCTCTGACTCGAAAGAGAGGATCAGCAATCCATAGTTCTTGAGCTTGATAGTTATCTACGCTAGTCCTGCCACAAAATATTCATAGTATGGATGTTGGCTGAGATGCTACCATAAAAAGATCACAAAACAGCCTCATCTTACAGTAATTTCAAGTATTTTTGAGAAGATTGACTGCAACGACAGTCAATTTGAATACATTGCCCACACATCGAGTCTCATCTGGCATACCAGGAGTTACCATTTTGGTCAGGAGCTTCTGATTCCTGTTGAAGACCTACAGCAAGCATCAAGATGTGACCCTTAACATCAGTATTTGGCGGAACCTGCAAGTGTAGTTGAAACATTAACCTCTTTGCAAACTCAGCATGTGTGTGTGCCTTTGTCACACAATTCACTGCACGCCAGTATCAATAAATTTGCCTGTGAAGTTTGGCCTGTATTTTAATGTGATGGTTCTCCTAGGAAATATAAGTAAAACATGCTTCTTTGAGATTAAATTCTAACTACAAAAGAAATTCAAAGAACATAATGACTGCAATTACACCATTGTGCTACTTTCTCACATCTAAAATCATTCAATTCTCCGCTCCCTCTACCAATTACACATCACAATCTTGAAATATAAATGATTCACTTCAGATATAGATTTTGCTTATCACAATTAAGTATCCTTCAATAACTGAAATCACACTGCAACAGAATATTCTAAATATTTACCACTAGATTATCCACAATTAAGCTAATGGAGGGAAAAAAGAAATGAACTGCTTTACCTATACTTACATATGCTATTTGGACGATGATATGCCCCTGGGTATCGTCTGCCCATAATGACCAGTCAGCACATTACAGCATCTTAGAAGCACTGCTTAAGCAAATTTCAGGCCTGAAAAACAAAATTAATTTAAGGCTTACTACAAATCATTAGGCTCCCTCCGTTAAAATATTAATGAACGCAAGGGATAAATAAACCCATAGACAATTAGTTATGTCACTTCAAGCAGTCACTGAGTTATGATCCATGAAGCACTATACATCTTTGTGATAGCTGGCAAAAATAAAAGTGTGACATTAAAACAATGAATTTAAACTTCAAATTCAATTGAAGCATTTTTCTCTAGCACAGCTGCACAGTTTATAGCAATTGTTACTTTCAAGTTAAATAACAGCAGGATATTATGACCGCAATGGGAAGAATGTGTAAAATAGCAACACTACTCCATGAGTTGTAATATTAACTAAACATTTAAATTCAATCACCAAAAAGGCCAATTATTTCTCTTTTATACTACTACCCAGAATAACAGAGACTTTCAGGAGGTTACTTCAATAAATTCAAAATAATTTATTTTTTAATAATACAAAAATACAAACTTTTAAAACAAGTGTGGCAAAACTGGTTAACCTCTAAGTTAGAATCCAGAATTACAGTAATAACTCCTTTTGATCCCAAACACACACAGACAGACACACGCACAAAGCAGCAACTCTATGGAGACGATATTTCAAAGCAAAAAGACAAAAGCACCCTTATTGACCAATGATCTGTAAAGCAAAGGAATGAGGTTGATGAATTGTCACTGGTCCACCAAATGTCTTGGTGGTAAAATTGAACTGCTGACAGCCATATACCAATGGAAGATCTTTTCAACAAAGCTTCATTTGATTGGAAATGAAGCTGGATCCAGTCTTTGGATTGTGGTCACAATTCAGCTTTTTAGGGTTTGCAATGTAATTAAAATACAGAGTGGTGAATTTATCAGGTTCTCAAATTGCATTCAGGAGAAAGGGTGAAGGGGAAAAGACAGATCTGGTAGCCTTACTGCTGCTTTTATTTCCTATTATCTCTGACACCTTAAGTGTTTAAAGCAGAAATTAAATCCACCCAGGCTTGCTAAGCAGTCATCATCTCAGAGATCCCAGTCTCTTCAAAAGACAGGTATTCCAGCAATTAAGGGCAGTAAACCATTTTTCTTCTAGAAAGTGTACAAACAGTTCAACATCTTCCAGTTTTTTTTCTATTAAACACAGTCCATAAATATCTATATGAATCTCAAGGAGCATATGATAACCCCATTGCAATCAAAACCAACATGCAGCAGGTAAAAAATTATATTTCACAGGTTTTACAGACAAACTAGGAGCAGAAGTTGACCACTTGGCACCTTGAGCCCGTTTCTTCATTCAATATGATCATGGCTGATCTGTTTGTGTTTAAAATTCCACATTCCCATCTACCCTGATAATCTCAGTTCTCCTGCCTATTGAAAATCTATCAATGCCTTAAAAAATATTTAATGCCCCATTTCCAAAGGTGTACAAACCTCAGGAAAATTCTCTTCATCTCTGCCCTAAATCAACAATCCTTAATTTTAAAATCATGCTCTCTAGTTCTGGACTCAGCCATAAGAGGAAACACCCTTTCCACATCCATCTTGTCAAGACCTTTCAGGATCTTTTATATTTAGTTTCAGTCACCCCTCACTCATCTAAATGCTAGTGGAAACAAATCCAGTCTGACCAAGCTTTCCTTGTTGGGCTGACATTCTGCACATTCCAGGTATCAAGTTAGTAAACTGTGAACCGCCTCCAACACATTTGCATTCACAAGGTAGGCTATGAAAATATTAAATATTTTATTTCAAGCATCAATCAACACAGACTATAACGTCTGATGAATAGAAATTAACTGCTGGAACAGGAAGGATATAAAGTAAAACTAGAACTAGAGTAAGCATCTCAAATAAAGGAGGTAGCAACACCATGTAGACAATGTCAAATTGTTTCTGATTTTTCTAATTTTATAATTAAACCCAGCATCTTTAAAGCCAACAGATTCTATGCATTATAAATAAATTAAAATACTCTATTTCAAAGTGCTCCTGCTAATTTCCAATCAGTAACTCTAAGGTGTAAATTCTATTGTATGCTAGTTGCAAGAGCATTTATATTAAATTCTAAACTATGCTGGCATCATGCCTAAACTTCATTAGTCATCCTTAACAGGCCATCCTAGAAGCACCATTAATTAACAGCTTCCAGGTTTTTTCCTCCTCCTAAGTGCAGTTAATCACTGTGCATGGTGTTATTCCACAACCTGCAACTGGGTTACTTAATTACCTTAGTCCAATTATCAGCAAAAACATAGCACTAAACCATTTCGGTTAAGACACTAGTCATTCATAATTACAGAGGTGAAAAAGAGGGAGTGGATAGGTATTATTTCCATGATTCATTTCACTTCTGGACAAGGACACAAGAAGGTACCAGCTGCAATTTCAATTCAACACTTCCACTGATTCTGTGACTTTCTAATGTCAGCTATGATTGCAATAAAAGCTGTAATGCTTCAGAGAAGTACAGTCACCTTGCATTCTTTATCAACATGACACATAGTTTTTAAACAGTAGTTGTCGTAAATGAAAGGACAAAAGAAAGCAAGCCTAATCTTCCTAAATCCAATTCAAAACCAATTCAGTAATGCTTTCTAAAATGGAACTAATACCCCAAGGGTATGACCTGATTACTGAGCAGCGTCAATAAATCACAATATGCCTTTACCCTCAAATTTGCAGGTCACATTTATCTCTCCTCCAGTAACCAGCTGCTTTCCTACCTTGCCACTTTAGCTATGGATAACATCTTTGTCTATTGATCAAAACAACTGGTTCCTGTCAAGAGTTGGGAATTAAAATACACTTGGACATAAAATATTTGATTGCAGCTCTCTAAGAATAGGAGGAAGAAGCCATTCAGGCCCTTGCTCTGGATCTGCTATTAAATTCGATCAACGCTGAAGTGTACTTCAACCTCGTTTACCGATTTTAACAAATACCTCTACTTAAAACTACTGAAGATAAGTTGGTGGAGGCATTTTACTTTTTGAGTTTTCCCAAGATACTCCAAAGACGAGTTAGAATCGTTTTCTCCTGGAGAATAAGAGTTAATCATAGTCCCAGGGGAGCAAGGAATGGAAAAACAATAGAAACTATGTTCTCTGAGGCATTTTGGATACACATAGTTTTGATTGCTCCATGTCCTTGTAAATTAAAGAACATTTTTGTGCAACTAACGTTTGCTGTATATGTTAATTAAAGAAAACAGCAGAATATTTATACAGAATTACAGCCTTTATTGAGCTGACAAATATGGACAGATGATAACATGTTCATGATGCATGTACATGCAGTTTTGATAATTTAAGATACTTTTTCAAGTTTATTATGGCTCGTATACACTAAGGTTAACATCTTTCTTACTTGGGCCGACACTGTCACCACAAAACAACAGTGCTGTACTCAACAGTTCACTTTTCTGACTCCAGTACTTACTTTCTTTGCAGTTTGCTTCCCAACCTCAAAAATAAACAATATGAAATTGCCAAGATTTGATTATCCAAGAGATTTAAAGCAGCAAAAAAAAGAAAGAAATATGATTTTCATTGAAGTCTTAGCTTTTAAAAAGAATGTTAACAAATCAGTTGTTTAAAAAGGTAGAGATACCCTGCAAGTCATAATTCTTACAGGATGTAAGAAGTGGAATGAAATTCCAATTTCATAATTGGAGAATGATATTCTGAAGATTAACTGCTGTACAAGTATTTATTTTAGAAAAAGCAGTTACTATTGTGACAAATATGCAATAATGCAACCAATGTTGGTTTCTGAACAGTTAAATGACTGAGCAAATTTAAAAAAAACTGGAAATTTAGAAGTAATGATAGCACAGGGACTTAAAATCTTGCACGTGAGCTTCAAGGCAAATGGCACAACTATAGTTTAAAACCAAAGGAAGACCCATAAATTAAGACCATCAACCTCAATCCAGATTTCACAAAACAGCTGATTCCCATCTGCTTTGCATTACAGCTCTCCCTTCCCCCTCTCACATTTCCAAATACGTCTCACAGTAACAATCTTGTAGTTGCTTAGAGGTAATGGAGAACTTGAGCATTATTGAGAAGAGAGATGTACTGTTAAGGTTTTTCATCTTGGCTAATTAATAGAAGTCAGAGTTGGGATAAGAAGAACATTTCAGCTTGGCAACTTGTAAGTAATGGAATGCCACAGTGATCAGTGTTGGGGCCACAATTATTTACACTATATATGACTATATACACTATAGATGAGGAAACTGAATGTACAATCAGCAGGATTGCAGATGACACAAAAATGGGTAGGAAGGCAAGTGGTGAAGATGACACAATCTGCACAGGGACATAGACAGGTTAATCAAGTCAACAAAAGTTGGCAGATGGAATATAATGTGGGAAAATGTGAGATTATGCACTTTAGTCAGAAGAATTGAGAAACTGAATGTTATTTAAATGGGAAAAGAATGCAAAAAGCTGTAGCATTGAAGGGTTTGGGAACCTTCATGCATAAATCACAAAAATTTAGCTAACAAGTTCAGCTGGTGATAGGAAAAGCAACTGAAATGTTGGCCTTTACTTCAAAATGAATGGAGAATAAAAATAAAGATTTTGCTAAAACTTTACAAGGCATTAGTCAGACCACAGCTAGAATACTGTGAATATTTCTGGGCCCCTTATCAAAGGAAAGACACACTGGCATTGGAGGCAGCCCAGAGAAGGTTCATGAGGTTCATTCTGCATTTAGAGGGATTTTCTGTAAAGGAGAGGTTGAATGGATTGGGCCTATACTCTACTGAAGTCCAGTAGAATGCATGGCAACCTTACTGAATCATAAAGAGATTCTTAGGGGACCTGACAGGGTAGATGTGAAAACCTTGTTTCCCCTTGTAGGAGAGTCTAGGACCAGAGGGCATAATCTCCGAGTAAGCAGTCACCCATTTAAGACAAAGATGAGGAGGAATTTCTTCTAAGGGTAGTGAATCTGTAAAAGTCTTTACCACAGAAAGCTGTTGA